GTTGTGCATGCATATGCATATGGAATCGCAGAACGAACTTGTTATTGCCGGACACGTCCGCCGTCACGATGAGGAAGGCGGCGGCGCGCCAAAAGCGACAATGACTGTGGTCCCCGCGGCGAACACGCGCCCGACGCTGCCGCTTCAATGCAAGAGCCAACCAACTGCGTGTTCGCTCGCTATTCTCGCGTCTGGCTCTCGGCCGCGGGAATACGAGATCTAGCCAGGTTCCAGGATCAAATGAGTCGTTTCCGGCGCTCGTGCTCGCATCCCGCCATGGAGGCTGCCGCTCACGCTCCTTCAACTCTCCGGCCGCGACCCTCCAAGATGTTGTCCAATCGCCGCCACGGGCGACATGCAGCACCATGCCGGCCGCTTCGCATTGGGCGAGCGCCCTGGGCACGCCTCGCTGGGTAGCCATGGCGGTCTCTCCCCCGCGGGTGTTGCCGCTGCCGCGAGGCTCGATCCAGGGGCATCGGGGCGCAACCGAGTCTGCAGGAGGCGACATGGCTGCCAAGGCCGAGCCGAGCACCTGCTGCAGCGGCGGCATGCCTATGCCTCGGATGTGGCGCCGTGGCCTTCGGCGGTGTCCTGCCTCGGAGAAGACCGCCATGCCGGTCGACCAAGGCATGGCTGGAGAAGACCGCCGCGGAGGCCGACGCCGCGGCCGCGTCGACGGCGGCGGCGGCGATGGCCGCCTCGTCTGCGGGCGGTGTCTTGGAGGCCATGACGCACGTCGAGGACGCCAGACCAGCAGCGATAACGCAACGCCAGGAGCCGCTCCCTGCGCAGCGCAGCGGCGCGCGCGACTGCAATGTCGCGGAAGCTGTCGTCGCGCGGCGTCCGATGGGCGATGCACGGTTCTTCTACGCGTTCGTGTACAAATACATGCCTAGCAGTAGGCCCATATACGCTTGAGGTGCAGTAGGCCCATATACGTTTGAGGTGTAGAAAATAGCATACATGAGGGGGAGATAGAATTATAATGACAGTTCTCCAAATAGACGATTTGTAATGACGTATCTCCAAACTCAAAAAATTACAATGGCGTGAATGAAAATAACCCTTGTTTATTAGCTGCGGGTGCGGGTTGCCACAAGGGGAGCCTGGCCTTCCAACACACCCCCTAGTACTCTGCATGCTCCTCGCCTCCTCTCTCTCTCTCTCTCTCTCTCTCTCTCTTCCAAATTCCAAGTGTTGGAGCGGCCAATGCAAGAGCCCTCGTGTGTCAACTTCACTTGTCTCTCTCCAAAAGATATGGTGGTATCCCCATGATCCTCCCCTCCCGGCCCCAACCTATATCTCACCATGCACCTAGCACGCAGCTACGCTCTCTCCCTCTCTGCATGCTAGCTAGCTTGTAGCCTCTAGCTGCTATGCTATGCACCTATGCGCCCCCTCCTTATAAACCCTTCCTCATGCCTCTCCCTTTTCCAAGGCAAGGCCAAAGGCAAACCCTTCCCTCCTCCTTGCCACAGATCGGAGAGATCACAGGAGCTCAGGAAGGCCGGCGAGATCGGAGGCATGGCGGCCAATGTGGGTACGGGCAGGAGTGCGGGCGGCGGCGGTGGAGCGGGAGGAGGCACTGCTACTGGCAGCGTGGCGACGGCGGTGTGCCGCCCCAGCGGCTCGCGGTGGACGCCGACACCGGAGCAGATCAGGATACTCAAGGAGCTCTACTACGGCTGCGGCATCCGGTCGCCCAACTCGGAGCAGATCCAGCGCATCACCGCCATGCTGCGCCAGCACGGCAAGATCGAGGGCAAGAACGTCTTCTACTGGTTCCAGAACCACAAGGCCCGCGAGCGCCAGAAGCGCCGCCTCACCAACCTCGACGTCAACGTGCCCGCCGCCGCAGCAGCCGGCGCGGCCGACGCCAGCACCCACCTCGGCGTCCTCTCGCTGTCGTCGCCTTCAGGTATGTGGGTATGCGTTTCAGCGTTGGTGCCATTAATTTGTTCGATCGCGGATCGCCCATGCATATATCAAATGTGTGATTGCAAACTGACATGCATGTGTGCGCATCATCAGGCGCGGCGCCTCCCTCGCCCACCCTCGGCTTCTACGCCGGCAATGGCGGCGCCGGCTCAACCGTGCTGCTGGACACGAGTTCCGAATGGGGCGGCAGCGCTGCCATGGCCACTGAGACATGCTTCCTGCAGGTACAGTACGCAGTTTTTCACGTACAACAAATTGACACGTTCCATCCATCGGTGACTGTTGGGTGCGGTGCGCGCAGGACTACATGGGCGTGATGGGCACGGGCAGCGCGGGCGCCGCCGCGTCGCCGTGGGCATGCTTCTCGTCGTCGGACACGATGGCGGCGGCCGCGGCACGGGCACCGACGGTGACGCGGGCGCCCCAGACGCTCCCTCTCTTCCCGACCGGCGGCGACGACGGCCAGCCCCGGCGCCCGCGGCACGGAGTCCCAGTTCCAGCAGGTGAGACCATCCGCGGCGGCAGTTTGCCGTTCTGGGGTGCCGCGCCCACAACTGCCAGTCCCACTTCCGTTGGGATCCAGCAGCAACACCAGCTGCTGCAGCTGCAAGAGCAGTACAGCTTTTACAGCAACACCACCCAGCTGCCCGGCACCGGCAACCAAGATGCATCAGCAGCAGCAGCAGCATCCCTGGAGCTCAGCCTCAGTTCCTGGTGCTCCCCTTACCCTGCAGGGGCCATGTGAGAGCAATGCAGGCTGCCACTGCTCTTCACTTCACTGGAACAATTTGCACGTCTGCTGTGAGTTTATGTCTCTGAATTTTCATGGAAGGAGTAGTAGTGAGTTGCTGTCATTGTCCTAGGTTAGTAGCATCATAGGAGTACGCAGAAGCATGTCTGAAGAAAGGCAATAGTGTTTGGCGATCTCTAGTACTATTTGATAGCGACATGTTCGCTCTTATAATCCGCTCTTATAATCCGTGTTCGCTCTTATAATCCGCTCTTATAATCCGTAATTTTTCAGCCAACGAACAATATTTTTCTCTCACAAACAAGGCATTTGTGGATGCATGCATCAGCCTGTTCGCTTGCTCGTAAACGATCATAAATTTCTAGCTGAGAACAGTATTTTTCTCTCACACCAAACCAGCCAGCAGTAAATAATCCACGATACGATACGGCCTCCCGACAACAGGCTGCATATTGCCGGCTGGGCTCTAGCTACTGCTTGCGGTGGTCCGTGGTCCTCATGTAGTGTGTGTGTGTTGTAGTGTAGCAGCAGCACCAGCAGTCCAGGACAACAGTGTGGACTGGTGCAGTGAATTCTAGTGCACTGGTGGTGGTTGTAATGTGCTTGCATTGGGGGCTAGTTTGGGCAGGGGACACAGTTGTGTTAAACTTGTCCCTCCCTTCTGTGACTTCCAGAAAAAGGAATGAGGCCGCTGCATGCCTGCTTTTCATGCTCACCTCGCCTGTTGTCCGTTGAGACTCTTTTGAGAGACTTCTCTCATCGCTGTAGTTCCAGCATGCAGATGCAAGATGTGATGTCTCTACCACTGCTGGTTTTCTCACTTCTCAGTTCAGCCTTTCAGGGCTTCAGGGTTGGGACCACTTTTAGTTGGACTTGTTGGCTAGTGTTCCATGATTCTAGTGTACAGTACTTCGATTCAGTGATCACATTTGCTTTTGCTCCCCTCTCGTATCTCTGAAATGATCATGTTTAGTTACATGTAAAGTTCACACGTCTGGTTTTGGGTTTTTTCTGCCTGGACCATGCAAAACATGTGCATGCGCATCCGCTGCCATGCATTATATTGGATTGGAAAGTGTCATATAGAGTACTAGATAATGTATGAAACAAAGTAAGGCATACGATTATATTTTGAATTTCTAGTCGCAAAATAAATTATCAGATTATGAATTTCTCATACTCGAACAAACATAGAACAAGCTAGAGTTCGCATTACCTAGCCACTGAACAAGTATAGATAAGAGTTCTCATAACCTAGCCACTAACTGTAGATTATTACTTGTAGCCATTAAGAAATTTTAGCGATTTTTGTCATATGTGAATCCACATAAATGCAATACATAAAATCAAGACATATTGAAACAAACAGGTAACGTACTATCTATATGGTCTATACTATTATCACAAACTAGCATATTCAACATAAAAAAGATAAACTTCAACAAAAAGTGTCAAAAGTCACATACACTATAGAAGGACCAGTGCCGACATCAATGTATATAGTTCTGTAGATCAACTTGCGTCAATGCAGTCTATCTTAGTTGATGCAGTGGAACGAATTGACGTGATAATGAAACAATCCATGCAGCAGCAGCCGCGAGTATGGAGGAGAAAACTAACGTGGAGGCACACAACAGATAGGTAGAAGCAAGACCTAACCCTAACCCGTTTATAGACTATCTTGATCCAAACATAAGGGCTTCTTATCTCATCATATAATAACCTACATACTGTATTTCTACGATAATGGGTTGTTTATATATATAGGGAGGAAAAGACGGCACCTCCACACATTCACTCATTTTTACCGTTTATGTCCCTATAATGACCATAGTCTCTTGTGGGCCTTGTACATTATATTATAGTCCACTAGAGAACTAGAGAACACAAGCTGATATACTTCATCAGTAACAATTTCATATAAAAATAAACGCGTAACACAAGTAGAGAACAGAGTAACTGACATACAGTAGTGGTTTTGTTGTTGTCCTTTTGTACTCTCATTTTTCTTTATTTTCCTGCCTCCACAAAAGCTATCCGTCCTTTCGAGAAAAAAAAATACGGACATACTGAAAGTTCCTGTGGATTACTGTAACAATTCCACACGGTAATTAACGGCTTACACGACTAGAGAGCAGCTACTGAGTACATAACGTGAGCCCCAAACATAGCTTCCATGAATAATCCATGCTTCCAGTTAACTGACATAGTCAAAGCCTCGATCACTTTTCTGAAGTGACCACACTACTGCCTCGAGAAAAGGATGACAGTCGCGATGCCTTGCCGGCTTGGCACCAGCTATAGCTAAAAATCACGAGCTGGGGTTACGTTTTCCTGCTAAGACCATGGAAGAAGCGGTGTTTTCTTCTTCTTGAGTGCTTCCGATGTACTCTGGACATGACGTGCGGCGAGAAACAGACCTAGATAAACAGAGCAGAGACAGAGATGTGAAATTTTATTTTGAAAGGGTGTGGAGGAGCCTTGTTATAAGTACCAAAAGTTTACAGCAAAATATTAAAAGTGTGGACTAAAATGTACAACAATGTTGTGACTAGTGTTCGAACAAATGATGGTAACACAGATTACTTCCCGATTAAAATTGGACTTCATCAAGGGTTAGCCTTAAGCCCATATCTCTTTGCCTTAGTGTATGTTGTTCGCTGATGATGTAGTGTTAGTGGACGAAAGACAGGCGGGAGTAAATAGGAAACTAAAGTTATGACAACAGATCCTTGAGTCTAAAAGTTTTAGATTGAGCAGAACTAAAACCGAATACATGAGATGCGACTTTGGCGGAGTTGTACAGGAGGAGGGAGATGTGAGTTTGGAAGGTTAAGTAGTGCCTAAGAAGGATACCTTTCGGTATCTCGGATCGATGCTACAGAGGGATGGAGATATTGATGCGGACGTTAGCCATAGAATCAAAGTAGTGTGGATCAAGTGGCGACAAGCTTCTGGCATTCTCTGTGACAAGAGGGTACCACAAAAGCTAAAAGGCAAGTTCTATAGAACGGCGATTAGACCGGCTATATTGTATGGAGCAGAATGTTAGCCTACAAAGATTCGACATGTTCAACAACTGAGCGTTGCAGAAATGCGTATGTTGCGATGGATTTGCGGTCATACAAGAATGGACCGAGTTCGGAACGATGATATACGTGATCGCCTAGAGGTAGCACCAATTGAAGAAACGCTTGTCCAACATCGGTTGAGGTGGTTTGGCCATGTCCAAAGGAGACCTTCAGAGGCACCAATGCATTGTGGAGTCCTAAGCCAAGCTAATAATATGAGGAGAGGTAGAGGAAGACTGAAATTGACATGGAGGGAGACAATAAAAAGATATTTGAAAGCTTGGGATATACCTAGAGATTTATATTTGAATAAGAGTACTTGGAAAGCAGCTATTGAAGTGCCTGAACCGTGATTTGGGGCTTTTGGTGGGTTTCAACTCTAGTCTACCCCAACTTGCTTGGGGCTGAAAGGCTATGTTGTTGTTGTTGTTGGACTAAAATGTACACAACAACCTAGACAAACACACAGAACTAAGGACAAAAACACTATAGAAACAGATGCAATTATTAAAGGGCGAACAAAACTGGTTGATGCTTCTAAGTGGTTGCTCCTGTTTTCAGGAGCCACCTTATTTGGTCTTCCAGAAATGAACATGTATATTTTCTGTAAAAAAAATATAAGAAGAAACTATGTATTTCTTAAAAAGAAGAACTACCTTAGAGTTGTTCCGAACGCCATAAGCAGAAAGTGCTGAATTGTCATCTATCAATTTCTCATTGTGATGTGTCAAGCAGTAGTTATCCCAGACATGCTTCCTGGATCAAGCAGAAATAAATGAAGGCCCAAGTATAGAACATGCAGCGCAAAACTCAGAATTGTCATTATTATTCAGTGCACACCAACACACACAAGATTCCACAGTATAGTAGCTCTCCGGATTAGAAAAAAAAATGACGATAAATGTAGTTCGCAAAGCATAACTGAACTTCAGAAATTGGAACTGCCAACCCCACAATATTACATTATATTAAGGACACAATGGCTGGTAATTACACCTTCAGTGGGGATCCTGCTCTAGCTTTTACATGGATGGTACTTATCATTCCTTAGCCTACTTAACATCATAAACATAGAACCAACATTCAGTTTTATGCTTAGTCCTGTTAGTAAATCATATATATGGTCATATGGATTTAAACATACTTGTGAAAGCGCAAACATACTATGGGATGCCCATCTTTTAGCAGCATTTGTACATAAATATAAAATAGTTGACCCATTCAGAACTTATAGTTCGCCAAAAAAGCAACACAATCCAGATAGGCTTACTCCAACAAATAGGCACCACACTTTATGCTGAACTAGCAGCACTAAATACTAAATTCAGTTTTCAGAAACCCTTTCAACTGACGACTACCACCCATATTGTTAGGTAAGACAGTAAGAGTGCTATCGAAAGTGGAAACTGTGGAAATGGGATCACACTTTGTCACTTTGGAAGGACCCAGAAAATTCTTGAAGGAAAGCTACAGGAGGGTAGGACTTAGGAGCCAAGGATAAGGATGTCATGTAGACTTAGCAGCAAGTAAAGCAAAAAGACAGTGTAGAAAGTACCGGGTCATGTGGTTCTGAATAACTGAGAAGCCAAAATTAGGTCAGCAATTTCTTTGTGCACACAGCAGACTGAGCTCAAACAAACAAAACAATCTTGGAAAAATATATTTACTTAAGTTCCAACAGAAAAAAAAAATCATGGGATAAACTCAAAAGGCCTGCCTAGCCATATGTACACACATTCAACTCTGAAACCTAAACAGGTGAACCTCGGGTGCAAAATCAAACTGAAAATCAAAATAAACTTCAGCTTTTGTGTTTCTTAATGTCTTTGTTCAGCCATCGGTATATACCTTACAGGACATACATGTGCAGTATTATCAGATTGCTCAACTGTTCAGTGCATCAGATATGGAATAATAAAGATCCACTGGTAGCATGCCAAGAACATTCATCAGAAATTAAATTAGGACAACCCAGCTTAGATGCCAAGTTAACAAGCATAACAAAGAGTAATGCACAGTATAAATAACCCAGCTTTAGAAGCATGATATTGTCCACAGGAATGTTGATCTTTTTCAAGAGAAAACAGGAACGGTTGTTTCCTTACCATGAGATATGACGATGCCCCATCTGCTCTTGTTTTATCTCATTTATCTTCTTCCTGATAGCCAGCTTCAGATCCTTGACAGTGGCAGAATTCAACACCGCCACCTCTTTCACAGGAATAAAAGAAGCAGATATAAGCAATCAAGTGGAATTAAAATACACAGTAGGATTCAAGGACTACAGCATCTACTGAATGGTAATTTGACAAAAAGGGGGAACAAAAAGGTCTGAAGGGGATCGATGTACCGAAGGAGGTGTTGTCCAGCTTGACAACGGTCAGCCTCATGGCGCTGCCGAGCTCCAGGTTTATCAGCGTGTCTACGTCGGCGAGGGAGGGCTTCCTGGGGACGTCCACGAGTATGGGGTCGTCAAGGAGCGCGGCGAGCATGGACTGAAGCCTCGCCTGCTTGGCCTCTTTGCTCTGGTAAGCGGCCACCTCCTCGGGCTTCCCGGAACCCGAATCCATCGCTCCCGCCACCGTTGAGAACGATTCCATTAGGTCCCAGAGCGGAGCTCCGCGGCGGAAGTCGCCCCCGCACTAGTCGACAACGGCGGCGACGGCGAGCTCGGCAGGGACGCTGAGATTTATGATACCGACATGTGGACCCTAGTATCGTTTGACACCGACATATGGGCCCTAGTATCAGTGTACCAACCGCTCGCGTAGTTGACAGCCGTCCGATTGGAATGAGTCCCCGTTTTGGACGGAGTGGCATCTTTCTATAAGCTTCTAGCAGCATCGGGCACCGCCGCGAAGGCCCAGCCGCGGCCGTTAGCCCTAGCCGCCGTCCGCCGCCTTCATCGTCGCCGTCGTCTCGAGCTCTCCGCGCGCTGCCTGCGAGAAGCGAGGCGAGCCTTCGTACATCACCTACGTGAAAGGTACGTTAGCTATTGGAGCGGTTTGTGTGGGCGTTTCGTAGATTAGTAGCTTAGAGGAGCGCGGCCGCCTGATCTTGCCTACGGCGGCCGAGGAGTTTGGGATTCCACTCGCCGTAGTTGAACCCGTTTCCCTTGGCTGTTTCGCTCTGCAGTCTTCTCCAACGCTCTGCAGTGAGCCATGGCAGGTTTGGGGCGAGGGGGAAGGGGAAAGCTTGAGAGGTGGCTTTCGTTTAGCTGCTGGGTAGGATGATTTGGATAACGATGAGGATTTAATCATTTAGTATCCAAAATGTTAAGATGCGGCATGACAACGTGGGAAGCAATAAGCAGTAGTGGATAAATTCATCGGAGTGCTGTTTGGTTGTTTCCATGCGACTTCAGCAACAGTTGTCTGTATAACTACTAATTAGGTTATGATGCCAATTGGAAACGCTACAGCCTGCTGGCATACTCCAATTTTGTAATTACCATATGAATAAATTGTAGTATTGGAACTGTATTCTTGCTGGTTAGTGTAGCAGACACATATTATCTTGCAGTGGGGTTCAGGGATTATGTTCATTTAAACTGTAGCAACTTTAATTTGTAGTTGGATCACTGTGCAGATGTGTTTTTATGATATCATGAAAAATCTGATATGGTGAGATTGCATATGGTTTCAGTGGGATATGGACTTCAGTCTAATTTTCCCTATGAGTATCCTGTATTCAGTAGTCTTCATCTTTTATAAGTGAGTTATTATTCTTATTTCAATTAGCAGACCTGTTGTAGTTCCAAAAGAGCCTTAGTGTTAGTGATGAATGATTGAAATGTTGTTTTCTTCTTTTGGGATTTCTCTATACTAAAATTGGTACTGTTTGCAAACAATTCACTCCTCTATGAAGAGTTGCTGCATGTCTTGATGATTGAATTAACATTTTGCTTCTCCTGGGTATGTTTCACTGTAATTTAGTTCTTGTACATATTCTACCTTCTGCAAAGGGATTTGGACTCAGACAGTCCAACTTGCCCTATAAGTATCGTGTATTATGTAGTATTAATCTTTTGTAAGCGAGTTATTCATATTTGAATTGGTGAACCTGATGTAGTTCCAAAAGAACCTTGTGTTAGGGATGAATGATTGAAATGTTGTTTTCTTCTTTTGGGATTTCTACACTAAAGTTGGTAGTGTTTGCAAACATTTCACTCCTCTATGAAGAGTTTCTGCATGTATTGATGATTGAATTAACATTTTGCTTCTCCTGTGAATGTTTCACTGTAATTTAGTTCTTGTACATATTCTACCTTCTGCGAAGAGAAGTATGACAATGTGCGATTCTTATCTATATGCTTTGTTTTACTATGGTATCGCAGGTTAAAATCCGACAGCAATGGCGAAGCATCATCCTGATCTCATCATGTGCCGGAAGCAGCCCGGCATCGCGATTGGTCGCTTGTGTGAGAAATGTGATGGCAAGTGTGTCATCTGCGACTCATACGTGCGCCCATGTACGCTTGTCCGGGTCTGCGATGAGTGCAACTATGGTTCATTCCAGGGAAGGTGTGTGATCTGCGGAGGAGTCGGCATCTCAGACGCCTACTACTGCAAGGAGTGTACCCAGCAGGAGAAGGACCGGGATGGTTGTCCCAAGATCGTCAATCTTGGAAGTGCCAAGACAGATCTCTTCTATGAGCGCAAGAAGTATGGTTTCAAGAAGAGATGATCAAGAAGATGGAGCTGTGTGTGGTTCTCTTTGGCCGTGTGTTCTGTTCTATCGCACTGAATACTGATACTGAGAGTAGGTAGCTGAGGCAGCAGCTTTGTATTCCTGTTATGATTTGATAATTGATACTGATGTGAGAATACAGCCCTGATAAGTGATATGCTTTGTAATAACTAGTTCAACTGTATGGTGTTAGAGACTGCTTATATAATTCGTGCTTGATGGTAAATTGGTAATGGCCATGAATGGACTTGAAATCTTGGCATGACCTTTGTCATCATGGTAGCTTACTGCTCTATGAATCTGCTGTCATCTGGAACGAAAGAAATTGGGTGTGCGAGTGTGGCTCTCAGTACATGATGTACTTTGGTTTGAGAATCAGCTGGACGCAAAAAGACGATCAGTTTGTTGGTTTTGAGAATCAGCTGGAAGCAAAAAGACGGATCAGTTTGTTGGAGCCTGCCTGAATGCAGGGCTGGCAAACTTTGCACGTCCTGGAAGATAAGGTTTGGTTGCCTTTTCAGACTAGTCCAAGATAATCATCTATGTCAGTCTAATATAAGAGACGTTTTTTATTGTTTATTTATATGTTTTACTCGCATTTCTGAACGTGTGTATATTTTCTCCAGAATTGTATGAATATATGATAGTTGCATGCCATTGTCACTGCCAGTCACGAGGTAATTGCTGGCCGATATGCACTTGGTTAGTTGAAACGCACGGTGGTTACCTAGTCGCTGCAAATTGCGTTGGCTATCTGCGTTTGAGTTTGACTCCTGCCGTTTTTGCCACGGCTTATCTACGCGAGTCTAGCCGGACAGATATGGTAGATGCAGCGACAACGACACCACTTCACCTCCATCAGCAAGTAAAGCACCTAAAGCTTAAACAAAGGCCAAACATCAGTACAAAAGTCCAAGCCAAACATCAGTACAAAAGTCTGCCGAATGCAAAAATCCAAGCTAAACATTATAAGAGTCCGTCGGAAGGCGTAAGGGCCTGTTTAGATTCCAAAAAATTTTGCGCAGAATCTGTCACATCGAATCTTGTGGCATATGTATGGAGTACTAAATGTAGACAAAAAAAAAACTAATTGCACAGTTGGGTGAGAAATCGCGAGACGAAACTTTTAAACCTAATTAATTCATAATTAGACACTAATTATCAAATACAAACGAAATGCTACAGTGAGCCAAAATCCAAAATATTTTGGATCTAAACGGGGCCTAAAGAAGAGTTGGCATCTGATACGTCTCCTCGAAGCAGACGCTAATCTCCTCGCTTAAAAAATTAATTATATATTCTTATTATTTAACCCAAACCCATGGTCGAAAAAGAGCTCCGTCAGTCACATGTCCTGCCTGCCTGCATCAGGAACGAACGGGACAACACGCATGCCCTGACCTTGCTGTTCTCCCTCGCCCTAGATAGAAGTGGGGGGAAAAAAACAAAGGAAAAGCCGCAGAAGCCGCTGAAATTGGGCACCACGCATTATCCTAGAAAAACGGTGGGAAATCGGCGAGAAAAAGGGCGAAATCAAAAGAGACTTTTCCCTGTGTGCCATTATAAAAGATCGCAATTCCCTGTGTGCCTCTGTAAAAATTCAGCGGTCTTCAGCGCCATTACTTCAACTTTTTCGGGTCCTCCATGCCACTTCCGTCAGTTCAGGCTCTAACGCCATTAAAGTGTAGGTGTGAAAAGACGAAAATATCCTTAAGTTCAAATATGTTATTAATTTTTTTTGAGCATCTTAACGACTTCAAATGAAAAAACTCAAAACTAGAAAGTTATAGATCTCGTCGAGATCTATAATTTTTATATAAAAATTATTTTCATTTAATTCCACAAAAAAAATATGATTTGATATGATTAATATATCTTAGAAAAATCATCATATTTTTTTTACGGAATTAAATGAAAATAATTTTTATATGAAAATTATAGATCTCAACGAGATCTACAACTTTCTAGTTTTGAGTTTTTTCATTTGAAGTCGTTAAGATGCTCAAAAAAATTAATAATATATTTGAATTTAAGGGCATTTTCTCTTTTCACACCAGATTGGCGTTAGGCCCGAAATGATGCAAGGCAAAAAGACAAAAAATGTTGAAGAAAGACATTTCAATTTTTTCATGAAGAGAGAATAAGATCTTTATAATAATAAGATCTGAAAAGTCTAAAATCAAAATCAGATCAAATCGACGCGACGGCGAGAGAACCCAACAAAACAAAGGCAGGCAGAGCCGCAGCCGCCGACGCCAGCACATCCTCCATTCCGCCGCCGACCCACCTCCACCACCCCCTCCCGTCTCCTCGGCTCCTTCCAAATCCACACACTTCCGCCGCCGCCGCTATCGCCACCGGTCACCATCCGTCCGACGAGGAGGGAAAGGGACCGGCGGGAGGGAACCCTAGATGACCCAATCCCGGCTCGGGACCAGAGAGAGCCTTCCGGATTGCGCCTTCGATCGCTGCTCCGCCCCCGCCCCCGCCGCCGCCTAGGGTTCCCGCGCCTGTAGATCGGGTTTGGGGGACGAGGAAGGGGGAGTGCCAAGTAATGATGGGGTCGAGGCGCTCCAAGCGCGTTTCGTGGGCCACCGGGGCCAATCTCTGCAAGGTATTGTGATAACACCCTCGCCGGAATGAGTTGTTCATCCGCCGCCCAAAGGCGAGGAGAACGATTCGCGCCTCACCCTCCCCAATCCATCCATCCTTCTGTGGCTTGCCCGCAGTTGACGTTTTTTTTTTGTTGGGTGTGTTCCTCGTGTTGTTGGTGTACCTTTGATTTCTCCATCTCTGCGGAACAGGCACGTTCTGATCCATGTGTTTTGATTGCGCAATGTGTTCGACTTGCCTAAAACGGACATGCAATCTTACATTACGAATGCAATGCTCTGACTGAGATGGGTTCATCCGGCCTCCACAAATGAGCCAGGATTGCCGTTGTTCCTTGCATGAATATCAGTCAATTCAGCAACAGCTCTGAGAAATGATTTTCAAATAGAATGAACGATCTTCTCATATATGAGTCAAACATTCGAGATACGCAAATCAGAGGAATGTGACTTGGGGCCTAAATAAGGAAACATATGCCCTAAATAACTTGACAATAAAAAAGATGAAGAGTTTCATGAATTCTATTATACAGAGAATTTAATTACTCTATATAAATTCCATCTCTTTATTTTAAATGCCATATATGCTTATGTATAATCAAACAAGGCTCAACTCTTATCTTCTCTACGTGTATGAGTACTTCTATTTATGCCTTATCCAGGGGGAAAATGGGAGTCCAGGTTATAAGCATGTATTTAAGTTCTAAACTGATGGACATTTAATCAAAATGTGTTGTTCTAATTTCATTCTCTAGTGTATTTGTGTTTCAATTTATCCTGTAGTCTTTTTAATGTCAGCCAGTGTAAACAAATAATTGTGAGTTTTGCCACTAATGAGTATTGTAGATTGATAAGGTTCATAAGATTAACTTGAGTGATATTGGCAAAATGAAATTTAATTTTCACAGCGCAGCGCTAGAACATGTGATAAGACATGATTTTGGGAAAAAAAAAGATCATCATTTGTCCTTTTAAAAAAAATGAGAAATAGCTCATTATTTTCCATAAGCTTGGCTAAAGTCATCTTTGTATACTCAAGGCAGAAAGTCTATAGGCACCTAATGTCTATAAACTATAAAGAAGAAACTGTTTTGGATACAGTTTTGAAGAAAAACATGTTATCTTTCGTTTTTTCAGCGAAAATGACGAAAAAATCATTTTTTGTTTTAATGCATGAATGTTTTTTTCCCAGTGTTGTTACTTGTAAACAATTTTTTTTTAAACATTTCTCCAAGTAGGAAAACATCACAAGATACTGTCTGGTTTATGCACAATAGCAGAGGATGAAAATATTTTGAGAAGAGTTCTTTGGAGAAGTATATCTTCTATATCACTAGTGAGGACTAGTGCACGTTATATTCTGCAAGCATCCTGCTGTTACTTATTTTTAGTGCACAGATGGACATTTTACTTGGTGTGTGCAATTGATTTGCATTGTACTAAAGACTAAAAATCCGCTTGTGTTTTGAGATGACAAAGTCCTCTTAGCACAATTCAATGGTTTTGCTTATTTTGGACTGCACTGGTAAGCTCATCATGTGCTGTTCTATTCCTAACGTATTACTGAGTGAATGGACTAATGCAGCATAGGAGTTTCCTCTTGTGCCTATTTTTTTTTTTAAGTTTTCCTAATGAAGTTTTGGCATTCCTGAATGGAAGAAGCTCTCTGTTTCATACCTAACAGGTAGACATGCAAATCCACATCTCACATTGATGATTTTCATAGGAACTCTCACAGTCAGCTAAATTACTTTCAGTAGATCATGAGATTTGTCATGTTGCTTTGGCACAAAGGATCATTATTGAAGGAACACTAAGTTGAGGGAAGGCATATTTATGGCATGCATGGAGATATAACACTATCTACATATAAATGTATAATATTATTTATAATTTAGCAGATAGTTAGTTTGCATCAGAGACATAGCTGCATAGATTGATAACTGCAGTATAATAAAATTGGTTGGTTCCTGGACTCTGAATCTGTGATATGTTGGATATGGCTATGAATCATGTAGGCAATACTTTGAAGTTTGACAAATTATTGTAAAATTCAAACTCGTGACAAAATTTAGCATGGAATGGAGTACTTAGTAACCTCCAGTGGTCCACTGCAATAATTTTCTTACATGCTATATCTCATGCATGCTAGCTATCTTATTTCTTATGGTGGGGCGCCTTTGGTGTCCCAGCATAGCAGGTCCCAAGCCCTGGTAAAGGAGGAGGGTTGTGTTAGGCGTGGCGAGCCAATGTAAAAACTTAGCCACTTTAATGGAGATGAAACCCGAAAGAAAATCGTTGGGGCGTATCCCTCTTAGCGACGCGCCATATCGGAACCCGGGTATGGTGTTAAATGGGCAAGGGCCGGGTCGTCACCCCCGTGACGCGCCGTGTCGTGATCTGGGCATGGTGTCAAGTGAGCAAGGATCGGGTCGTCGCTTTCCTTAGTGGCGCGCTACATCGGCGCCCGGTGTAGTGAAAAAAATGAGCAAGGGTCTTAGCATCTCGAGTCGTGGCCAGGTGCGAAGGGTAAGGAAGCTAGTCAGACCAACTAGGATCCGTTTAGGTAGTTGGAATGTAGGGTCACTTACGGGTAAGTTAAGAGAATTAGTTGATACCGCGACTAGGAGGCGTGTAAATATATTATCGTTCAAGAGACTAAATGGAAGGGTCGGAAAGGCGAAGGAGGTGGACAATCTGGGTTTCAAGCTTTGGTACACGAGGACGATCGCGAATAGAAATGGAGTAGGAGTTTTGATTGATAAGAGCCTCAAGAATGGTGTGGTGGGAGTGAGAAGGCAAGGAGATAGGATTATCTTAGTCAAGCTTGTCGTTGGTGATATGGTCTTGAACGTAATTAGTGCGTATGCCCTCCAAGTAGGCCTCGGCGAGAGTGCTAAGAGACAGCCTGGGAAGACTTAGATGGCTCTGTTAGAGCTATACCTAGTAGTGAGAAGCTTTTTATAGGAGGAGATCTTAATGGGCATGTAGGTACTACAAGCCTTGAGTTTTCGAAGGCGATTCATGGAGGTTTTGGGTATGGTAGTAGGAATCGGGGGGGGAGGAAGTTACGGACTTGCGGTAGCTTTTGACTGATGATAGCCAACACTTTCTTTAGAAAGAGAGAATCTCATCTAGTGACCTTGATGGCGGACAACACAGTAGCAGATTGACTTTGTCCTCGCAAGAAGAAAGGACAAACGAGCATGCTTGGATTGTAAGGTGATACCGAGGGAGTGTGTTGTTTCTCAACATAAGCTTTTGGTGGCGATTTTCGTTTTTCAGAGTGCGTGCCCGTAGGGATAAACAAGCTAAGATTCAAAGAACAAAGTGGTGGAAGCCCGAAAGGGGAGGCGTCGGAGGTATTTAGGGAAAAAGTTATCAAAGAGGGCTCTTGGAAGGAAGAAGACGACATAAACAACATGTGGGAGAAGATGGCAACCAACATTCGGAAGGTGGCCTCAGAGGTGTGTGGAGTAACCAAAGGAAGTGGAGGCGAGGCTAAAGATACTTGGTGGTGGAACGAGGAAGTCCAAAGGGCTATTAAGGAGAAGAAAGAATGCTATAGACGCTTGTACCATGATAGGAGTGTGGATAACATAGAGAAGTACAAGGTGGCAAAAAAAGACTGCATAAGCGAAAATGTAAGTGTGGCAAAGGGTAGAGCGTACGAGGATCTTTACCAACATTTGAGTACGAAGGAAGGAGAGAAGGACATTTATAGGATGGCTAGGGTTCGTGAGAGAAAGACACGGGACTTCAACCAAGTTAAGTGCATTAAGGATGAAAGGGAGCATCTCTTAGTAAAGGAGGATGAGATCCGACATCGATGGCAAGAGTATTTTGATAAATTGTTCAATGGTGAGAATATGAACACAACCTTTCAGTTGGATGACTCTTTTGATAACACCAATAGGCGCTTTATGCGGAGAATCCAAGAATCTGAGGTCAGAGAGGCGTTGAAAAGAATGAAAGGAGGTAAGGCGATGGGACCAGATGGTATCCCAATCGAGGTGTGGAGATGCCTCGGGGACATAGCTATAGTATGGCTAACCAAGCTGTTCAACCATATTTTTCGATCGAACAAGATGCCTGATGAGTGGAGGAGAAGTATATTGGTACCGATCTACAAGAATAAAGGGGATATTCAAAGTTGTACTAATTATCGGGGAATTAAGTTGATGAGCCATACTATGAAGCTATGGGAGAGAGTTATCGAGCATCGCTTGAGAGCAATAACGTGGGTCTCTGTGAACCAATTTGGTTTCATGCCCGGAAGGTCAACCATGGAAGCCATTTTCTTAATAAGACAAGTTATGGAGCGGTATAGGGAGAAGAAGAAGGACATACACATGGTTTTTATTGACTTGGAGAAGGCTTATGATAAAATACCAAGGAATGTTATGTGGTGGGCTTTGGACAAACATAAAGTCCCAACGAAGTACGTCGGGCTCATTAAGGACATGTACAACAATGTTGTGACTAGAGTTTGAACAAGTGATGGAGACACGGATGACTTCCCGATTAGGATAGGACTACATCAAGGGTCAGCTTTGAGCCCTTATTTGTTTGCTTTAGTGATGGATGAGGTCACAAGGGACATACAAGGGGACATCCCTTGGTGTATGCTTTTCATGACGATGTAGTGCTAGTTGATGAAAGGCGGACGAGGAGTGAATCGAAGCTGGAGTTATGGCGGGAGACTTTGGAGTCCAAAGGTTTTAGACTCAGTGAACTAAAAGCGAGTATATGAGATGTGACTTGGCACTACTACTCGGGGAGGAGGAAGATGTTAGTTTGGAAGGTCAAGTAGTGCCTAGGAAGGATACCTTTCGATATTTAGGATCAATGCTACAGGAGGGACGGGGACATTGATGAAGATGTTAGCCATAGAATCAAAGCGGGGTGGATGAAGTGGCGGCAAGCGTCAGTGTCCTATGTGACAAAAGGGTACCACGAAGCTAAAAGGCAAGTTTTATAGGACGACGATTAGACACGCTATGTTGTATGGTGCGAGAATGTTGGCCTCTAAAAAGGCGCATGTTCAACGACTAAGTGTCGCGGAAATGCGTATGTTGCGTTGGATTTGCGGTCATCCAAGAAGGATCGAGTTCGAACGATGATATACGTGATAGATTAGGGTAGCGCCAATTGAAGAAAAGCTTGTCCAACACCGTTGAGATGGTTTGGACATGTGCAACGGAGACCCCAGAGGCACCGTGCGTGGTGGCATCTAAGCCGGGATAGTAACGTGAAGAGAGGCGGAGAGAAGACCGAAGTTGACTTGGGTAGAGGCAATAAAAGGAGACTTGAAAGGATGGAATATACCCAAAGATTTAGCCTTAGATAGGAGTGCTTGGAAGACAGCTATTCACGTGCCTGAACCTTGATTGCTTCTTATGGGTTTCAACTCTAGCCTACCCCAACTTGTTTGGGACTTAAAGGCTTTGTTGTTGTTGTTGTTGTGTCTGATGTAGACACAAAATATCATAACTTAATAGGTGGCTACCCATACTGGCCTGTCTAGTTCTAACCAGTTGGATTGTACTGAGTTATTATCTTTGTTAAAAAAAATGCATGATGTATTTGTTCTGGAAAAGCAACTCTGTAAACGCTGACCAACAATTGGTCACATCATCCCCTTTTCTTTTGGGGCCGTGTGCTTGTAGCTCCAGTAGTCTAGTGTGCATAATTCTTTTTATTTGTCAAAAAATGACCATGCTGTGGGGAATCTTCCATTCTCCGTTTAAAAAAATTGACCACGTTATAGGTATCTGCATATTAGTCATTTAGTGTATAAAATTCATGTACTATTAGATTCATGTTTCAAAATGCTGTCACAATATATTGGTTTTGTTGCTCTAAGTGATGTATTTCATGCGAAAATAACAGCCATACACTTGAACCTTGAAGGGTCAATAAAAACAAGCCTAGTGCTCTTCAACAAAGGGAGTAATACTGATATGATTTCCAGAAAGTTAACCTCAGTACAATAAACCTTCAACTCCCTGTTTTTTAACTCATTTGGAAAATATGCAATGTGTGGTACTATAGGGGGAGGGGGGGTACCCAACCCTTAGGGCAAACAAGTTAATCACTCTCTATTTTATTGAATTAGTTTATGCCACTAATGAGTGCATTAAAGTTTGCATGGTGTAGTGAATCACTGGACTAGTGTCCTTTCTTTTGGAAAAGAATTTATCTTCACTGTTGCTTTTTGGTGTCTTATTGCTAAACCCATACTCATGTTGCAAATTGTAGTTTGTTTTAGTTTTGTTCGAAGTCAAACATCTCTAACTTTGACCAAGTTTGTAGAAAAATATATTAGCATCTACAATACCAAATTAATGCGCTATGTTTTCGCCCAAAAAAACACTATGAAAAACATATTTGATTGTGGATTTAATGAAAGTTATTGATGTGGTAGATGTTGCTGCATTTATTATGAACATGGTCAAACAGAGAAAAGTTCAACTTGGGACAACTAAAACACCTTACCTTTTGGAACGGAGGGAGTATCTTTTAGTTCTTCATACAATCAATGTTCATTTTTGTATGATATATGGCTCAACAGAACCTTTTAATGACATAAGGTAGTACAGACGATTACATTCATGTCATCAATTCAGAATGAGATGTTAAAATATTGTGATGGAGTGTCAAATCCTTCACTGTATGTAACCAAGCAAGTAATACATATGTGTGTCTTCTTGTCAGAAATTATCTTCAAACTACAGCTGAATGTATGGAATTTATGTTTGGCATGCCTAGAATCTTGTGCATGGATCATTTGTTTTTATATTCCGATTTGAAGCACTACAACGCTAGTGATGGTATTCGTTGTTAATAGGTTCGCTTATGGATTCCATTGTTTGTTTTGATGTCTCTATATGCACTGCCATTATAAGGTAGTGCATGCTGTTCGTTGTCTGTAGGTTCATTCATGGATTAAAATTCCTTTTTGAGGATTAAGGAAAATTGGTATCCATGCTTTTGTGTTTAATCACTACCATTTTATTTATGCATCATGGATGATTCTCCATGTAGTTAAAATGATTTGATTGTTTAAATAGATCAAATTTGTAGATGAAATATTTTGACTGCTTATCCAATTAACTATCGGTTACGAGTCTGGATATAATTTTTCTTATAGAGATCTAAAAGGCCACTGTTTGTGTCATCATTTCAATTTTATGCCTACTTGAATCAATACCTGTATTTTGTCATATATTGTGGCAGCCATGTAATGAATAGATGTGTGATTAGTTTGCATGCACTGGCAGTTTTCCTGATTCTAATATATTTTTGTATTACGTGAATCTGTCAGGTAAGGCTTTTTCTTTCAGAGGATTCCCCTTCTCAAGCTGGATTAAGACCGCAGGACAATCTCCAAGCAAAAGGCTCATGGTTAATGCATGCAGCTGGCCCAAGCTCAGATGATTCGCTGCCACCTGGCTTCGAATCGTTGCAGCCAACCAGCGATCTCAAAATTGACATATCCCAAATCCCTCTTATTAGGTGGAGATGCCCACCACAGGTAATTAGGACTTATAATCTTGAACGTTGCATTCTACTAATGGCAACTTGCCAAGGTGACTTCAGATAATTTTGGCAAGCCCCCACAGGTTGAGTATTTTTTTTTAATAATAATTGTTGCAATCTTTGGTTGCAGATATTGTATAATCTTGATTGGCTTGTTGTTGCTGGAGAAGAAAGTGAGGAGGTTGCCTTGCAGAATGAGAGGATGTTTGGAGCACTTGAGGCTATATATCCGCGGCCATCGAACATTCCTCCAAAGTAAGCAAGCTGCATTTTAGTTTGCCATTCTTCAGATTTTGCTCTTCTCATCCTTATACGCTATTTTCTGTGCCAACCCAGCCCATTGGTTACTCCTGATGTGAAAGACTCCCAATTTGATGATTCCCGAACCCAGTTGGTTCCGTTGATCCCAGTTGAAGAGGATGATGCCTCTGACCAGTTGGAAGAACCACCTGTTGGTCTACCAAGTAGTTACCACCAGTCAGATAATAAGTATGACTCCGCAATATTCAGGGCCCCACAAGCCTCAGATGCTCCCTTTACACAGCCGAATGGTTCCATCAACACAAGGTCTGGTGTCCCTGTTGAGCCTGACGCAGTGGCTGCTGCATCTGCCGCTTACACTGCAATAATGCAAAGCAACCAAATGGGAAACATGATTGACCAAGATCTTCTTATCAAAATATTAAGTGACCCTGCCCAAATTGAGAGGTTGATGAAAGAATATGGTGCGCTTAAACATGAACAGTCAACCAACAGTTCTGTTGTCCCAATGGTGCAAGGTCCACCGCCCCAGATGACAGCTAGTGTTCCTGTCTCCTTTCCAGATCATACCACTACATTTCACAATATAAACCCTACACTGCCACCTCCACCTGTTCTGAATCGCCTACCTCCAGCTATTCCTTCAGTTACCATGAATCCCCCAGCAAGTTCAAGTCAAGCAATTAGTTTTCCAAGTGGCCCAACCAGAGGTTTGAACTATTACCAGACCCTAATCCATCAGCATGGAGGGGAGAGGCAGGAGCCACTTCAACAGCTTGGAAGGCAGTTTGCAATGCATCACCAGCCTGTTGCGTCGCAGGCTAGTACCACTGATATTGTCAGCAGTGGTACTATGACAGCTAGGGATACTAAGCAAAGGCCTACGAAGCCTTGTGCTTACTTCAACAGCGCCAGAGGATGCCGGAACGGTGCGAACTGCACGTTTCTGCACGATGTGTCTGCCGCGAGGAAAGAACAGCCAAAGGGATCCAAAAGGATTAAGTTAGACAGCAGAATAGCCGGGCGGTATTGAGGGGGCTGCTGCCGGTTGATTTTTGACTGTTCTTTGGTTCAAAATCTTTATTTCGCCTTTTTTCCTTAAAAAATGATTCAGTAAATATTGCGCCCCAGCTCCTTGTTTCTTTCTCTTAGTCCAATTCTCTTTGTTGACTAAAAGAAAATGTTTTACAAGAAAGAAAAATATCCCATGATTAATTGGAGCTCTGTCGTTACTGAACCAGTTGAAGCACATGTTAATTTGTGGTAGCTATGTCGTGGTCATTTGTGTTGGGGGTTCTATTTTCTGTGAAAACTGATAAATGCATAGTTGCATACTTTCACATATACTCCCTTCATCCCAAAATAAGTGTCATTCTCACTTTTCAAGAAGTAAACATTTTTAACTTTGATCAAATATATATAAAAAATATTAATATTTATGATGCACAACTAGAATAATTAGATGAATCATTCAATGTATTTTTATAATATAAACTTATTTGAAGATGTATAAATATTGTTAATATTTTCTATAAACCTAGTTAAAATTAAAAAAAAGTTTGACCTATCCCATAATGACACTTATTTTAGACGGAAAGAGTAGACCTTAAATAAAAGTACATAAAACGTGCACACAAACAGTCATTTGCCGTTAAACTAATATGTGAACCGATAAGCTGTTGGAAACTTGGAATATCGTTTTGCTTGATGCATCCCTAGGTATGGAAATCCTGTTTTGCCCGACGTGGTGCCTGTAAGTTACTCTAGTTTATAAGGCATTTCTTATAGATGGAGAGTTAAATTTTATAATATTTTAACTAATATAATTTAGCTAACAATTTGTAACTATTATAATACAAACCTAATAATATTAGATTTGAAATGAAATATACTGTATAATGACAATAAGTTTATAATTATAAGTAACATAATATAAAATAAATCAATAGTTCAAGTATAATTTAGAAGATAGCGTCATGTCTCCCTAGGCCTCTAGAATTCTTGTTGCATGGATACCTAGATTTATATTAATTTATAGGAGGTAAAATCTGAAAATCTGCGTGTTAGTGACTATAGAGTAATTTTGTCAAAATACTTGGAAGCTATAGTGACTAATGATATGGGCCCACGTGTTAGTGTCATGGTTGAAAAGGTTATGGATCGAACCAAAGAGATCATATTGGCACACATACAATCAATAGTTAAAGTATAATTTAGAAGATGATCATCTCTCCCCATAGACCTACAAATGGTTTACTTTTTTGCATGGATACCTAGTTTTATATTGATTTAGGAAAGTTAAAGCTAAAATTTGAGTGTGCCCCGTGTTAGTGTACTTAGTATTAAACTTTCGATTTGATGGGAGTATGGGACACTCACCTGAGCTTCAAATGTCTACACAGCCCATACTGAAATAGTACGCTATACGCCGGCACCACACCACTTACGTCATCGTCTCAGAATGCATGCCACCTGGACTCGCAAACTTGCGTCCCCTCGTTTGTTGCTGGTTCGGCGTATGTACCGCTACCGCATGCACCAATTGCTGCCTTGTGCGGTGCCTTGGCAGCGCCGGCGGCACACCTAGTCGCGTACACGTTTTGCTGGTGAGTGGTGACGAGATGCCCGGCTCGTCACATCGGTCATCGGCATCGACGCGGGGCTCGCCCGGTCGTAGCTAACGTTTCCCTAGTGAGCTCACATCGTAGATCGATCGTTTTTTGCATCGGGGGCTTCAGTTTCTTGTTATCCCAGGACACCGGCGGGAGAACGGGATGAGGAACCAAGCCGCGTGCTCATCATCCACGAGAAGAAGACCCCCAGCGTGCTCTGCCGCTCGCTGCATCATCTTTCTCGAGGCCGCTGCGGCCGGCCATGACCTCAGCGTGGCCGCGAGTCGCGTCCTCCACGCCGCTGTCGAGCAGCAGCAGCCCTTGCGACGAAATCACGATAGTAGGCACGGTGCCCCGAGCCCATGGCCCGAACAGCCTCGATTGGGCCAGGCCCAGCCGCGAACTTTTTTTTTTACGACGGCCCAGCCGCGAACTTAAGCCGTTCCGTTTGTATAGTGCCACATCGTCCGCTGAACGCTGAAAGCACCGGCTGGTAATCCAATCACCTTAGGGACCAATCACCGTGCGGCAGGCGCGGCGAGCAATCACTTGACTATAAAATAGAATCACAATTCCAACACGCTTTGGCCGGCTTGCATATTTTGTCGTCTTCGTTTGTTTTTTTGTTTCTTTGTCAAAATTCTGTTCTCATTAATTTCAGCGAAATGCAATCCGGACCCTTGACTATCAACGGCCCAACATTCGCACAGAATCATCTCGCATTTTGCAACACGCTTTTTCCTCTCGGCTACATCGCGACCGCGTGCGCCGCGACGCAATCATGCGCTCCCCACGCCCACCGTGTCTTCCTCTCCACCGCGCGCCGCCGTTTTTTCCTTCCTCCTCTCACTATCAGCGACGACATCCTTTTGCAATTTCAGCTGTGCGAGCGCGACCAGATCCCCTCTCCCTACCACGCTCGGTACGCTTCCTCCCTCAGCGACGACATCCAGCAATGCTGACGAGATCGGGCAAGACTGTTGCAAATGTATGTTTCAAGTATTTGAAGTGTTTCTGAGGTATGTTGTAAGTGTTTTATATCGATGTTGCAAAAGTAGATCGGGATAATGTTTGCGCTGAAAGAGCATGTTATAAACGTATGTTTCAAGTGTTTCAGATGTACGTTGCATGTGTTTTATATCGATGTCGCAAAAGTAGATCGGGATGCTGCAATGGCTGAAGACATATGTTGCAATCGTCTGTTCTCAATGTTTCATTTTTCAAACGTATGTTGCAAGTGGGTTTATCTGGATGTTGCATATATTTCACACATGTTGCAAGTGTTTTATTTGGACGTTGCGTATGATTGCAATGACATGTTTCAAGTGTTTCATTTATCTTCAGACATATGTTGCAAGTGTTGTATCTAGATGTTTTTAAAAGTAAGTGTTACACATGTTGCAATGTGACCGCTGTTGCAGCTGCTAGAGGGGGCGTGAGGGGTGGGGTGGGCTGCAGACGCCGTTTGGGACCGGACGGGGGTGCAGACGCCTCGTGAGGTCGGACGGTACACGGAGTACAGGCACGGCAACTTCGTGCAGACGCGGGCGTCACTAGCACTGCCGTTCATGATTTCAGTACCTAGGTTAGTTTCAGCGTATTATAAGTTTTATTAGATGATGAATTCACGAATATCCCGGCCCATACACCTACATGCATGCACAACAGTTTAATATCTGCGACAAATCTCTTTACACTTGAGAGCTAGATGCATGTACCAATAGTTCAACATTTGTGACAAATTTCTTCACTCTTGAGAGCGGATTTAACTCGGTATTATACGCCTTTCTGGAGTTAGAAGAATTTTGGAAGCAACAAACACCCTAACTCACATCACGTGCGATGAAGCAAACAATGCGAAGCAGGGTGATCCGAACAGAAGTTGATTCGTGGCTGCAGATACAGAAACAAATGAAATGAGAGCCATATCCAAACCAACAGAAACTTCAATATCGCCAAATACAGACCAACCCACACACTCTTGATGCCACTGTTGCATTACAAGTCAAGGGGCATATTATATTACACACAGAAACCACTATCAGTCACATAACACAACCAATAAGATCCAACAAATGTACACATATCAAGCGGCAGCTGCTGCCGTTCTTCCAACCATACTCACTATTCCAACGACGAATCAAGGGGAAAAAAACTGACGAATTAGATGGAGTGTGCGGAGAAGGCAAGAGTCATCACGCGAAATCCATCTAGATATTCGATGGCACCCCCACGCGAAATATGCTGCTGTGCTCGGCCTACCCATCAGATATGCCACCTCTTGTCTGCGCGTAAGAAGGTCCGTTAGGAGAACTCAGAGAGCAACCACAAGGTAATTACGACATGTCTTGATAAAATGAACTTCGAAACACAACTGGATAATGCATAATAATAGCCTATAAGAGAATAAGGCACTTACCAGAAGAGTTGTGAGGAGCAGGGCCATTGCTTTTCACGTTTTGCTGAGCCTGCGATGATGATCGCTGCATGCGAGGTGACGAGTCATGCTTGCCATTGGTCATGGGCAATGAGTGCCTCTTCCTTGGGTTGCTGTCCTGCACATCTGGGCTCATCTTCGGGGACGACGCCTTGGCTCTTGCAGATTCTGTAAATTGCATGTAGCTCGGCAACGGGTTGCTGTTGCTGTTGCTGTTGCTGTTGCTCATACGAGGTTCTTGATCGATGTGGTCGGATTTAGCAGCCTTGCTTGAGTTCTCTCTCTTGGCATGCCTTGATTCCTTTGAGAAGTTGTCGGTGCTGCTCTGTCCAACTGACTCACTGCCTGGACTAGCCAGTGATCTCTTGCTTGCATGGGACTTGGGCTTTTTGCTCCTGCTCTTTTTGGTATTAACAGAGACTTCACTCGATGGTGTTCCATGAGATTCAGGAATGGTCGTTCGGCTCATTGGAGTTCCTTCAGGTGTGGCATAAGATGTGACAGATTTTTCCAATCGTTCATGCAAATCTGGCATTTCCGGTTCAACATGTGGCTCCTGAACAAGTTCCTTTTGTGGCTGGGCTTCTATTTCAAGGGCAGGAACATGGCCATTCTGTTCTACTTCCTTCTGCGGCTGGGCTTCTACTTCAGGAGCATTTTTTACCTCAGAATGGACAATATTGGAGTCTTTATCAGCTTTGCCAGTGACATAGTTTCTATTTTCCAGAGCTCCAATCTCCATCACGATCTCCCCACCATCACCTTCTGATCTATCTGGTGAGTCCAGTGTGGATGAAATTGATATTTCAGTCCCACATTCTGATGCAGCAACTATCATTTTAGTGTCATGACCAACTGAGCTTTCTTGTATGCCTGTGCCATCTTGCTTTGACAAGGAATCTTCTTGTGAACTAGGAGTGTGCACCCTTGACTTGCTCGCCCCATCCAGATGTGATGAGCTGCTGGACCTGCTGACTGTCGAATTTGTACTCAGCTCTTCGAATTTCAATTGTGCAGCAGCAAATGCTGGATTGCATGACTTTCTCGCCACAAACCTTTTACCTTCCATCTCCAGTGTCTGCTCAGAATTGTATGCATCACTACTGTCCTCATTGGATGATTCAAATTTTCCAGGAAGTGGACAGGGATCCCTTAATGCATCAGCTTGGGTATATTGTTGATCCAAGGACATCAAAGGCTCGTCCACATCATTTTCAGCCTTTTGGTCAGTTACTTGCTCAGCATCTACATTAGTAGTTTCGATCAACTCTGATTCAGGATCATGTTCCATTTCCATCTTAGGGCTTTCATCTGGGACACTTGCAGGAACCTCCAAGGCACTAGAATCAGATATCTCTGCTGTTTCTTTCACATCATCAGCCATCAACTTGGGGAAAGATAGGTCTGAGTCCAACTGAACAATGTCTTCATCACACTGAGAATGTTCAGTCACTTGTTCGGTCACAGTTTCACCCATCAACTCACTATTTTCTTCATGCTCTGGCAGATGCTCCACAGTGATTGGTGGAATTAAGGCTGTCCACCTCTCCATCCATTCCCATGTAACATCAGATTCCGAAGGATCACATTTTATGTGAATGGATTTTGAAGTTGACGTGTTGTCCATGAGCTGACAGAAGATGTGCAATGTGAACATGAGGAAATCCAAACTACAGAAAGAGAGATGGATATTTTTAGACTTTTAGTGTGGATTCTCATGTCTTACCTTGAGAGCAAATCCACTGTGAAGCAATTTCTCACCTGAAGAATGAACAATACTCTCCTGCATGGGGAAAACAACATGTGAATTGACAGAGCTAAGGAGCAGAAATTGGTTGCAGCTCTCAAGAATGTTTAGGGGGGCTACAGTCAGCACTCTAACACAAACCATGTCGGCCCTTTTACATGTTTGATGCAGAAGATGATCGCTTATGCAATGGGATTGAATTTCACAACAGCCAAAAAGATAGCAGATAACCAACAGATGTAGCAAGTTGAATGGAAACAAAAACTCTGAAGACTTGCAATAGATTAACAGCTTCCAGGATGCTAGCTAAAACTAGGAAAAACTGCACATAAACATCTTAGATCTTACTAATGTTGCTAAGCCCTACTCAGCTGACTCGGCAAAACAACCTCATCACAAAGATATAATCCGTATCAATAAATGGCACATGATATGGTTGAGCCAGGTAAAATGTTATTCTTTTCACTAACACTGGTCGCATAATATATATTCATAATCCAATTCCAATGTAGCCGATGCAAAAAAAAAAAAAAAAAAAAAAAAAATGATAAATGATAATGCCTTAAACAGAAAGCCATCATTCACCTGAATCCTTCCTGGTGAATGTTGTGCTTGATGAGCCCTGATTAACCCTTGAATTTTAATAATCGCAAGCAAGCATTGTAAAGATTCTGAAGCCTGCTTTCTAACTAGATGTCCACGTATAACAGCTTGCAGTTTCACCAGATCCTTCTGATTCAGTAGCTCTTCCCTTGCCTGTAGTCATGCAAATGGATAATGTCTTATTTTTTTACGTTGATAATATATAAATAATTAATAACATTGTATGAGGAACAGCTAAGCATAATGCTAAAAGAGCAATAATTGCAACTTACAATGCAAGTGCCACTGCCAGGCTGAAGATTAGTAGCTGCAGACTCCAAATGATCTTCCTCAGGGTCTGCACTGCTTCCTTCAACAAGTGAGGTGTTTTCCCCCTGCTTCGGCCCAGTTGATGAGACAGAAATAGTTTCATCTGGCTCTTCAATTAGTTCCTCAACTGCCCTTTCGGGTGTCTCTTCTGTTGCATTTTCTATTGTCCCTTCAGCTGTATTTTCAGATGCTGTCTCTGTTATTTTTTCAGCTGGTTCTTCAGTTGGTGCATCATTTATTTTTTCGGCTGGCTCATCAGTTGGTGATTCAGTTATCTTTTGAGTAGGTAAAAGGGCGTACCCAGTGCAGAGAGCTCCGCTCTGTGCGGGGTCTGGGGAAGGGTGTCAGTGGCAAGCCTTAGTTCAATTGATTTTTCAATTATCTGGTCAGCTGGTTCTTCCATAAGTTTGTCAATAGGCTTTTCAATTGGCTTCTCCAGCAGCTTTTCATCAGAGTTCTCTTGATGCAGAGGCTTCTCCTCTGGCTTCTCTTGATGCAGAATCTTCTCATCTGGCTTATCTTGTTGCAGAGGCTTCTCCGAGGCATAAGAATATGTTGAAGTATAAACATTGTTGCTTGGTGTAATGTCAGCCTTAGCTTTGCTGGAACTAAGAGTTTCAGGTTCTGAGATATCAGAGTTCTTCAAAACTCGATGCCTTGTAGACCTCCTACGAAAGCTCCATCTGCTTTTATCTGATATGGCCTTGTTCTGAAAAGAGTGAACATGCACATCAGCGTGAAGTTCAGTAATTGATATGAGGAACAAATTGAAAGAACTTCTGTTACTTTCCACGCATACAAAAAGAAAACTTGAGAACTGATTGCAAAAGTGGAAGGTATTACTATTTAGGAAATACTTTGTGAGGAAACTACATTGTGAGGTCTATGCACTAATCCATTTCATATCCAAATTTAGGTAGTGGAGGTCTATGCACTAATCCATTTCATAAAAAATGGTGCATTACACATTGAACTAATTTAGGCCATACTTCGTGACAAAGTGCACCACTTAAAAGTTTGCATGTACTGATAGTCGGGGAAGACTATAGATCGCAAGCAAAATATCTCTGATTTATTATTAACACTGATGTTCCTTTAAAGTGTAATAAACTTTGCGTACTTTTGTCAATTTAAACGAGCTAAGCTCCCCTAAATCAAGAGGTACAGCCATGCAAGCTGACCTGTCAAAAATCAATAACCTGTTCTACCACATGCTGAATTTCATGTTGCGCATACAAGAATCCTCCAACCCAAATGGTAATTTTACTCAATACTTTTGTTATCTGTGCAAGAATATTTGCTCCAGAGTCAGGTAACACCTTCCTATCTTCTAGCCTTGTAGCGGATATAGTCACCAGTAGCCCATCATTTGAAACAAAATTGTCAAATCAGGAAGGGACAGGGCTGGAAACAACCAAGCCTAAAGAGGAGAAAGACAGACGCAACAGGCCGAGGTTGACACAGTGAAAGCAATTGCATAGTAGTGAGAGCACTACATGGAGCATACAAAGAAAGCAGCATCAGATCCTTTCCTGCTGTGCTGCATGGGATCAAGACGACACAAAACAGCACCCTAAGCCATAAAAGATATGGCACTGACTGACTGCAGCTATGGACATGCAGCAAAAGAATAAAAGAAAGTTTTTTTTTTGTTCTTTAGTTTCATCCAGAAAGAACGAAATTTTCAGGTGAAGAGCCATGTCCATGCAGTCAGGCAACATCATGCTCACGAAATGATGAACAATTGTCCACCTGTCAACATCGCAAACAAATCCGAAAGTAAAAAATTCAAAGCCGACGAAGTGAGCGAGCTGAACCAGTGAGGAATCTCTCAATTCGGAACTTGATTCCAGCTCCCCGCTTCGAATTAAACCCAGATCTAACAAGGATCACACACACCCTGCCCCTGAACCCCACGCATTAGGCAGAGATCTAAGGAAACAAGCACCGCAGCTCGAAAAAGGAAGCAACTTTCGGCGCTGTACAAGACGCCGCGCGGAAAGAAGAAAGAGAGAGAGAGCAGGAGACGCCGCATTCCGCGGCGCAAGGGAGGCGGGCACGCAGCACGGCTGACCTCGTCGGGGTGGTCGTCGGCGTCGGCGTCGGAGCCGGCGGCGGGATCGGATCCGGAGCCGGCGCAGACGAGGATCTTGAGGCAGCCGTTCTTGGACCGCGCCATGGAGCGGGGTGGATCACGACCGACCGGCCGCCGCCTCAGTCAGTCTCGGTCAGTCAAGTCCTCTGCTCCGCGGGGCGCGCGCGTGCGTTTCTGGAGACTGGGGCGGAACAGGACGGCAGTGGATGGCCGCTCTGCCTCTGCTCCTTCTGCGCTGCGCGTTTGCCTGCGGCTGATGCGGCGGCTTGGCTTGTTCGCTTGCGGCTGGTGCCTGTGCAGCTCTGCACGGCGTTTTTATATTTTTGGATGGAGGCCTCCCTCCTCCTCGGGCCCTCCGCTGCTCTTTCCGCTCCTTCCCTGTGCGTTTCTTTATCTAGACTAGACTAGACTAGAAAAAAAAAATCAGTGTGCTTTCCTTTTTCTTATATAAATATTCCCCTGTGACTTCTTTAATAAATCTTCACTTTCCGTAAATTAAATTAATCTAGTACAGTAATTCTATTAGCATTAAGTATTTGGTTAAAAAATGTTTATATAGAAGTAAAATATATACATTCCCCGCCAAATCCATATGTTTTGAGCCTACTAAACAAAAATTGAGCTAAAACTTAATTAAAAAGGTATGTTAAGATACTTTTCCCTGGTTATAATTATGAAAGAGATAAAGGAGTCCATTAAGGTACCGAGACAAATTTTCCATTGAAGCGAAACGGCCCTTCCGAAAACCGCAGAAAACAACACGTAGAAAAGCGTCCAGTGTCCTTATCCAAACGAATTAGGCAGCCGCACGCAGGCAGGCCCTCGAGATGACTACAGTGACACCGAAGCCTGTGTGTGTTCACGGCACGGCACGGTAGCGTCCTGTCGCTGCGAATTTGGTCTGTGCTTTGTTGTGATTTGAAGGTTACGGTAGGGTAGATCGTCTTTAAAGATGCGAATGGCAGCGAGCATTCAGGCATGTTCGTTGGTTGGTTTTTGAACTGATAAGTCCTTGAGTGGTACTAGTTTGTTGTGAGAGAAAAACACGGTTGACTGATTGATAAATCCTAGCTAAAATACAGGCTTATTAACACCACGCCTATCACTAGGCACTAGCGTAGCATAGCGACATGTACTTGCTGTAGCTTGCATGGTGACGCACCGCACACTGTTTGCTGGCTTCGAGTCAAGTCCATGCTCGTCACGTACCGCACCGGACCACCGGTGCTCGCTCGCTGCTTAAATGGCTCGTGCTTTGTCACGAGCAAAACGTATGCTACCGGTAGGACAGGCACGGCCGAGAGGCACGACACGAGGAGACGTGGGGCGAGCACGAGAAAGCGTTGCGGGGCTTGGGGCTGCGGACTGCGGGCCTCGGGAGGAGACGCCGCCCGACCGCCCGGGGGTGCCGGGGTGGTGCTGGTGCTGGTGCTGGTGCCCCGCGGAGCGCATGGCGGGCGGCCGGCGGGGGTGGTGGGCTACTGGGCTGGTCGGTCCCGTCCCGCGCGCCTGCGGCTTGTGGGCGAGTTCACGTGACCTGCCGCCGATCCGACCCGGGAAATCGCCCGAAAAAAGCGAGGAAACGCAGCACAGCCCTCGGCGCGCGCCCGCACCCCCACCCGCCCCAACATTGCCGTTGCTGGCCGGCCCCGGGCTCTCCCGCTCACGAGCTGCCTGCCTGCCGCGTTGCGGGAACGGGAGCCGGGGGCGATGCCGCGATGGCGGCAGTCGCTGAACGCTGCCACGGTCTGTGCCTTTTCTTCCTGGTAGCGCTGGTTGGATCGTGGGCTCGCGGCGACAAAGCTTTCGTCAGAGGCACGCAGGCAGCTCCTCTCTGTGTCTTTTTTGACGGCGCTGTCCTGCTTCACTCAAGATAGCTTCGACCTTCAGTTTAGTTGTGAACTTCACGGTAAATTTACACGTATATAGCAAGACTGAAATTTTATCATTTCCCGGTGAATACGTTCGGTAGAGAGAAGAGCACATCACTACAGATACTATAGCACATCACTGGCGGATTCGGGGATATATTTAGGTGGTATAGGATTTTAAGTCTCTTTTCTTCTGTGTGTACGTGTAAAAATTCATGGACTTCTACTGATAGATGAGGTGGGGTAGGGGGCCACGTGGGCCGCCCCGTGCTGCTGTCCGCGCTGCGATGAGGGGGCCACGTGGGCCGACACCTGCAGGCGACGACACCACCAGGCACGTGCCAGCCTTTCGCACATGGACACATCGCCGGCCGGCGGCCACCACCTGCTCGCCCCGTCGGCGCACGTTACCGCCACGTGCAGTGGTACCCCTCGAGGCCTCAAACCCTGGAAGCCGTAAACATTATCCTCCCCACGCCCGCTGTTGTACTTGCACAGTTGCACTACCGGCCTCTCCTCTCAGAGCTCTGATTACCACGGTAATAATAATAAACTAAGCATCATGCTCCTGGAACAAGAGTTTATTATTACGTATTAGTAGTATCCTCCTAATCTTCTCGCTAACAGCCGTCAAAGCATCTGGTCCTGGCAGTAAACCAGGCATATCAAATACTAAAATTCCTATGTGAATGATGCTTGGAATCGCAGAGACATGCGTCCAAGCACGAAGCTGCTTTTCTGGGCGGTCGGCGATGCAGCAATGATGCCCAGCCTAAAGGCCTTGGAGGCTGGAGGAAAAGAATGACCAGAGCAGCAGGATAATGAGCCCTGCACTGCAGGCTTCAGACGCCAAAAGGAGCCATGATTATTTCGGTCCTTAATGGCTAATGGTGCCTGATCCTGGTCAACATCTTCTCATCTTCACCATTCTGCTAGCACGAGTAATACTATTCAGTTTCCTGACCTCCAGCAGACATCAGCTACCCTGGCATTAGCACTGCTAAAAAATGGATATTTTCTGATCAGCAACAGTCAGCAATGCTGGAACAGAGTGGCTGGCGGGGTCAGACAGTGAATACTTGCTGAAAACTCTTGTCAGGTTGTTTATGTTGGTTTAGGGTCTGAAGGCATGGTTTAGGTCAGCTAATGCAGGAAATCACCAGATAAAATAATCTACCTCATGATCCTGTGGGATTGTTTAACACTTCTTTAGCACAAGAAAGCAAAGGAAAGTGCGCGCCAAGCATATCTTCAGTGGATAGCAAAACTCATGACCTGAAAACCGGCACACCACACCACACCTTTCTTTCTTCCCTCGTAGTAGTATCTTTTTCTTTTTGCTCACTGCAGTGGGTTGCGTGTTTCGGAAGCACATAACAGTAATCTCCCACCACCGCCCCCCCAAAAAGGAGGGCAGACAACAGTGATTGGGGGATCACAGAGACAGCATGTCCTGCACCTGTGCACCAGCTAGCTCTCGGATCACTTCGGATGGGAGAGCATTAGGTTAGAGTTTGTTGGGATCCTCCGATTATCTTAGCCTAAGTGTGGTGTGGTTAATTAACTAGTGCCTAAACGAGAGGTCACTGTCAAAGAGTTGGGAGGCAGTGACAGGCTACTCCATGTTGCTTGTGGAGGAAAAAGAGCAGAGCAGGTCTGGTCTGAGTGCCCACAGCCCATCAGACAGAGGGACTGGGAAGTGGGAACTGGCATCCGAGAATGAGATCTAGTGGGTTGCTTCTTGTTCTTGGGTCCACCCATTATGGATATTTCTTATGCTCAGAATTATTGGCATAGAACAGCAAAGCAGTTATTCATAGCTCTTTCGTCGCTTTTCAAAACAAAATAGTCGTTGGAGAATGAATTCATTGTTCCTGAAAATTCAAGGTCTAGGTTCATTTAAACAGTAAAGGCTCGAATAAACCATCTATAATTCTTTTAATTAACCTTTTAGATTTCTTCACTTGAATAGTAAAGGTGTATTTAAACAGCACCCATTCTAGATTCCTTCTCTTGAGGTGCACTTATGTTTAACGAGTGGAGAGACATCACAAATATGGGCTAAGTCATCTTGCTAGAGAAATTCAGGAGGTGATGAAAAACGTCCAGCTCCGAAGAATGACTGCATTGACATAAACAGACACTGCATTTACATACCGAAATAATTGCGACTACGACTGTAATCAACGATGTCCCATGCACGAAAGGTTTTCTGAATCGTTATTGGGAGCTAATCCCCGTCCTAATCTGTCGATCTGTACGTATGTAGTACCATGCGCTAACCTGGATCCTTGTTGGCAATGATGGGATAGCTGTGTTATCCAATGCGTAGGCAACTGCAATGATAGATGTGGGCTGATGCCTTGTCATTTGTTAGACAGGCACACTGGGGGATGCCTACCTACCAAGCCTTTCCCTTGTTGGACTGGTTGGAGCAGCATGCATGTCAACTTGTTATATCATGGTATTATGCCAGAAGTCTTAACAGATTTATACAGAAAAAGAAAACTGAATTGGAACTAGAACCTTGTGTTTCCTTTCCTGCAGTGAAATGAAATGCTAACAGAAATTAAGGACTTATATAGTAAGTAGAGGGAGCACTTCAGTTTCAAATCAGAAAATCAGTAGAGGTAGGACTTAAATTTCAGATCAGAATAGCTTGTTTGACAGCAAAACCAACTGGTAGAACAACTTTAGGTGGGATGTTGTATCTGCTTGTTGAAAGAAGGGGAAAACGAATATGGGGCTCTCTATGGTGGTTACCAGAGAATCATATATCTCAAACACCTGCAGTTTACTAAAGACATGTAGTAATTCGCTGGCCATGTTCTCTGAATTTTTCAAACAATATTTCTGTCGATGTTCATGTCACCCCTAACCACTTAGGGTCTATTTGAAAAGCAAGAATTTCAGAAGAATCATACAAAATTTTTACATGATTTAGTTCACTTTCACAGAAAAAAGCAAAAAAATTAAACATTTCCTGCATTCCAAACAGAGCATTAATAAATATAATAAAAGCCATGGCAATAAACCAGCCAGTAAGTACCAGTGACCAGAAAGGACGAGATCATACGGCGCGGCAAAACAAAGAAAGGGATATTTATATTTATAGGTTTGATCAAGGTGATGAATGCAGAAGCACATGAACGGGACAACCGCATGCAAATCTACCTCAACCAACGCCGATCTTTCCTGCCCCATCATATGTCA